TTCAAAGTATTCAATAGTTTAACAACACACAGTAGTTTACATTGTTTTACAGCTATTACTAATAAGGCATGTAGCTATGAGTCTGGGGAGAAAGATATCATTTCAGAGAAAATCTGGTTTTGACTTCATGTATCAAAATACTTAAAATGTGCTCAGAGGTGCTCTGTCCAAGTTCTGCTGAAGTCAAAGTTCCAATAGCTTAAATGGAATTACACTTCACTTTAGCTATGCAAGGATATGAGCCTTTTGGAAATGAGAATTCATCATCTTAAAAACCTGATATTTGATTTAAGTGATCCAGTAATGCTAACTGTAGCTACCATGAGTTAATTTATATTCTAATTTTTTAAGAGTTAACTAGACGCTTTTACTCATGCTGCTTGCATCTGCACTCCTGTTTCTGAATTCACAAAGTATGTTGTTCTTATATATTTTCACTTCTAGCCACGTTATTTATGTCTGTGTTGAGGTCTGGATTTTCTTATGTGGTTTTGCAATTTAGTGCAAACTGCTCACAAAAATGTTAATGTGTAAGAGCAGACTATGTTTTAATAGCACAGTTTCTTATTAGCTACAGTCAGGAACTTCTCATATCATACTAGTTAACATATTAGCTGTATATACAATCCATAACAAAAAGCAATCCCTGACTCATAATTAAAACCACGAAGTGTTACTGAAGGTTGGATAAGCAACTCTATATATGACAAATGCATTGGATATAAGTATCAGAGAATTGTGTATATAATTAATCTTATGAATCTGTATTCTAATATGACAAGTTGTTTCAATCTGAATTTTGTCCTGTTAAACTTGGTTTTGCCATAATCACGTGGACTACTGTGAGAACATGTTTGGGTCGATCACATTTCAGTTCCACAGTCTTTCTTTGACCAGTGACCCAGAAATATTGTTCATTGGATTATTTTATTATAGTAATAGACAAGTTTTTGAACTTCAGGAGACGGTGAAGTGCAAGGGTTACAGACATATCCATCTATCTTGGTAGCTGGTAGAGTAATAATATATTAAAGATAACACAACACCCACTTCCTATTATGATAGTCAAGATGACTGAAAGTCCAATCATGCAAGCAAAATCTGCTTTTGTGCATTAGATTTGCACAATGACAACTGAGTCAGGAGGATTTATGCAGTGGGAAAGCACAGCCATTGTCCACAGCCCCTGTACTTCATCGCTGAAAATATGTCATTCCTTTGTGGATTCGGTTATCAGTCTTTCAGCACTAAATGTGAGAACTGGTTTTCCCAAATTAGCACTAAGGTTACATCTGACAGGGTGCAGAAACCAGAACTGCTTTGTACTGAAGATGAGGAGGAGAGGACAATTGCACAGGAAGAGCTGGTGAACCTCAAGCTCTCAAAAATTTAAGCATTTTCCAAAATGAGCATAAAAGTAGACAGACAGTATTTGGGGTAGCACAGGGTGGAATGAATTTCATCTCCAAGTGTAGTTCTTACACTGTATTCCTGTATGGAAAGTTTCAAGGTAGTTTAAAAAAAAAAAAAAAAAGTAAGAATCAAACAGGCCTTCAGCAATGATTCTCAGGACTGTCTATACTTCAATAAAGAACTATCCTTAAATATATTTTTGAAATCAACCCCTTCATTGCAACTTAAGAAGTTTACCTTCCTAATATGGAAAGGTTGGCTTAAAATCTTCACTAAAACATTCCTATTAAAGGCACTAAAACTTTACTGTTGATTTCCTAGTGATAAGATCCTGACAGCCTTTCCACACAGTACTCCTAATTTCAGCATCTAACAGGGAAATCCAAAAATTATAATTGTTAGGGGTTGAAACTCTGCAGGCTTGCCAGTTCTTTATTTTTTTTTCTTTTGTCATTTGTCTTTTTTTAAATATAATTATAAAAGAAGCTTTGTGTTTGCACGTATTTAGAGTGGATATACTTTTAATAGACAAGCTCTCATTGAAGGATGAGCTGTACTCTGCTTTCTTGAAGATCTGTATAAACTAATTTTGAACCTTGAGTTTTCAAACCTTTATACATTTTTTAGAAAAAAAAATGGATTGCTGTGTTGTGGTGGGTTTACTTTTCTAGTTGCTTTCTGTAGTGTGCTTAGCCTCAGGTTAAAAACCACTAGTCTAATGGCCATATACTGAAAGCTGGACAAGAGGAGCAGTTCTAATCAAACTGTTACAAAGCAAAATTCTCATCCCCATGGACTTTAACAGCTAGGCAGTGAGACATCCTGTTTTAAGTCCTTGATAATATTTACTTCACTCAGAGCAGGAACTTAAAGCTGCTTTCTCCATACTAAGGCTAAGTTCAGAGATGACAGGGTGCAGAAAGCACAGCTGTTTGGTACCAAAAATGGAGTGGAGGAGACAGTTGCGCATGAAGAGCTCCCAAAATTTTCTCAGAATTTAAATATCATCCTGAACTGGCCTAAAAGTAAGGCAACCTTGCACAGAGCTATTAAGTTTTTTTTGCATTCAAGTATGAACACAGAGTTCCTACAAAGATCACACAGCCACTTTTTAGAAAAGCTTCACCTTCTATAAGAAGTTAAATGTTACTGGGAAGAGGACTTTGAACTGTTCCCAGCCCAAGGGAAGGTCCTGACCAACAGCTTTTAAAGACTTTTTAAAAGATATTAAATACTCACTCAATGTCAAAAGCCATTTCATTTTGTATAAATAATTAAACAATCACCAAGCCAAATAAAGCAAGGGAGACTGATTCTATAACCATGTAGTCAGGGTGTTTGTCTAGAAGGTAGAGAACCATACATCAGTCACTGCAGCAGTGTACATTTAATTATTAATTAGGTGTTGGCCAGATGTGACATGGAGGCACTTGCAAAAACACAATAAAATAAGTTGGTGCTCTGGGAAGTCATCTTGGATACAAAAAGCTGCAGTTTAGTACCTTGGACTGAATCATGTACTTTGTTAGAAGCCTTGTGTGTACTTACCCTGGATGTTATTGGTTCCTCTGGTAAGTGCATGGAGTTTCTCTGCAAAAAAAGTTTTGACAGTCTTAGTTGGTCCCAGTAACGGTCAAGAATAGTTTTGAACTCTCAAAAAAAAAATCTTGAAAAAGAAAAAACATCTCCTGTTCAGGTTTGCTATAAGGATCAAGGGCTTTCATGTTACACATACATTTTACAGAGACTTGACTATAGGCAAACCCCATATTTTCTTTTAAAAGTGCATTGTCTTTTATAGTTCAGAGCCATCAAAAACTAGTGTTATTTCAAGAAAGTGTAGATCAGATCCTGCTTCTATGAATTGCTTCAGTAATAAAAAAAGATGAGTAGGAGGCCTGAGAAGGTCGGAGCAGTTTAGGCTGGTCCCAGGGATCCCTGGTGAACTACATGCAGTGTTTGCTGTACACCAACCCATGGCAGCCTCCGTGAAAGGGCTGAGGGCATGGCTGGAGGCAAGAAGGCAGAAACGGCAGTGCAGTGTACCAAAGCAAATGCTAAGCAAAGCAAAAGCAATGCACTGAAGGCAGTTTTCAAGCTGAAGATTAAGGGAGTGGAAGGAAAGCTTGGAGCCATTCTCATCTTCCCTGACTTGAGCACAGGGGATCTGGCCTTAAATTGTTAACATTTTTTAAAATGAATAACCATAAACTTTTATTTTCAAAGCAAAACAGAGTTGGGCTGCAGAAGATTTGAAAGGAAATGAAATCACAAAAGCTGCATTAAGATAGTATTATGAGTCTGGTTTGCACCCCAGAAAAATGAGGGAATACTGGCCTGGCTCACCCCATTTACTAGACCTGGGGTTAAGAGAGACTGTCAGTCTGGATTTTCAGCCTTGGCTTGGAATTTCCTCGCTTTTTATGTGTTTAAACCATCTCCCTGATATTATTTTAACATACGTTCCATGGCTTAATTTTTAAAGTGGGGTAGTAGCTGTGCTTAGTCCCCTGGGGTTATTGTCCTCAGTAATCTTTACTTTACGGTTACATAAACAGTTGAGAATTATAGAAGCTGAGTGACTGTTCAATAAAAAAGAAAATGCCCCCTTAAATTTCACAGGCTTCAAGGCAGTAAACATGGACTTGATACCCTTCTGGCATTCATACAGAACTTTGTGTTGTTTCTGCTTATGAAAGTTTGTAGGATGTCCCAGCATTGTCAATGTACACACAAAAGTTTGAGTGTGTATGTATTACACAGTAGAGGAATGTATGGCAAGAGAAAGACAAGACTGCAGATAGTTTATAGTTCTACCTATCTAATATAGTGTATTAAACGTGTCAAGATGTGTACGTGCCGCCAAAGGTAAACAGATGTGGAAAATGTCTGACTTGCCAGCATAGACAGGACCACATCCTGGTACCTGGGGGTTATTTCATAAAGTACATCTGAAATGTTCTTGGAGAAAGGAGGTGGTGGATGGTATAAATACATTAAATCTCTAGCAATAACTTTATTTAAATAAAGGACATTAAAAAAACCCAAACAACCTCCCCCCA